GGAAATTTAAAATTACACGAAGACATATGATATGTATTTTGAAGAATGTTACAGCAAACAAGAGCTTTAGAAGTTTTAAAGGCATTTTCTATAAAAAAGAATGCGGCTTCCATCCTATTATTGTATGTTTAATCTCATAGAATATATGTGGCACGAATTGAAGTCTAACGTGAGGCCACAAAATATTTCTCCAACGTTAAGTAGTACTGTTGTAGAGTTTAATAAGAAAATGTGTCAGTGATATTCTTCCAATTAGTTGGAAAAATTCAGTCCGACACGTAATAAGAAAATTCATATGTTCATGTAGATCATAATATAATTGAACCGATTATAATTAATTTAGATGAGGATAGCCATAGCGAAACAGAACTATGTCTGGAGTGATACTGTCACCAAATCTACAAATGGTACGATTAAAAAAAATACGGTTGTTTCAAGAACTTCTTCTTCTTTTGGCATCATAACCCTGGATGGGTCTTTGCCTGTCCGGCTATGTCCTTTCATTCAGATCTCTCTTGTGCCCTTCTTCTCCATTGTCTTATGTTCATTGTTTTCAGGTCGTCTTCCACGTCAACCAACCATCTCGTTCTGTTCCTTCCTTTTTTTTGCCTTCCTATGGGCTTCCATTGTAACATTTTCTTTGTTGTTTTTGCATCGTTTTGTCTTTGCACATGTCCCAGCCATGACAATCTTTGACTTTTCACAAATCTTACAATGTCATAACCTTCATTTAACTCATTAACCTCGTCGTTTCTCCTGATTCTCCATGTGCCATCTTCCTCTTGTACCGGGCCATATACTTTCCTTAGTATTCTTCTCTCGAATGTCCTTAGTTGGGCTTCATCTTTTTTCGTCATTACCCAAGTTTCACATCCATAGGTTACTACGGGTCTAATCAGTGTTCTGTAGATAGTCATTTTGGTTCTTTCCTCTAATAATTTCGATGTTATCAATATTTTATTAGCATAGTATGTACGATTCCCGCTGGAAATACGTGCATTTATTTCGCTACTTACGGAGTTCTTCTGATTGATTTCTGTGCCGAGATATGTAAAGGCATCCACTCGTTTGATAGTATAGTTGTCTATTGTGATATTATTTTCATTGTCAGTTATTCTTTTGACTGTCATATACTTCGTTTTTTGCTTCGTTTATTTTAAGACCTCTTTTTTCTTGCTTCAGGATCAATTTGTTTGAACACTTCCATTAGTCGTGGCTTATTCCTACTAATGATGGCTACATCGTCTGCATATGCAGTAATTTGTACTGATTTGGTGTTTATATGGCCGCTTATATTGGTTTTTCTGATGACTGCCTCAAGAACTAGGTTGAATAACATGGTTGATAGGGCATCTCCCTGTCTTACTCACATGTTGATGTTAAAAAGGGGAGTCAGTTCTCCATCTACTCTGACTGCGGCTTTTGAACCCAGCAACGTCATTTTTATGAGGCTGATGTATTTCTTAGGTATACCTAGATTACAAAGGTCTTCCAGCATTCTGTCTCTTTTCACACTATCAAAAGCTTGCTTAAAGTCTATATACATATTATATAGGTCTATGTCGTATTCATAAGCTTTTTCTTGTATCGTTCTTAGTATGAATATGTTATCTGTAGTGGCTCTATTTGGTCTGAATCCATTTTGATAATCACCAATGATATTTTCGGAGTATTCTAATAATCTATTGTAAATTATACCAGAAAGAATTTTTGTATATTACATTTAGCAATGTAATTGGCCTATAATTCTGGCATTCCCTCTTGTTTGTTTCCGGAACTACAAATTGTTATTATTGTTTGTTTTTCTATAATATTAGCAATTAAAATAGAGTTAATTTATTTTAAAATTCATTTGAAAACATTAATTTCGGATATATAAGGCAAAGCAATATATTTTTCATCCGTTTTTTTTTGTTTTTGTCATCGTAACTATTGTAAATTTTGTGGATCCTTTGCTTTATTATAGGAGTACCGTCTACTCAGTGTTAATTGTCAAAAGATCAACTCTGTCTATTTCATTTGCTTATCGCTCCGGACCAGTCTCAACAATGGGACAAGTCAGATAAATTTAATAATATTTACGTCCGCACTAATTGAAGTAAACCATTTTCTACTAAGCAAACTTTAGCTGAAATATCTGTGTGCATAGAATTTAAATTAAAATCTATTAAGTATTATCCTAGTAATTAAGTCCAATCTGGTAGCCGGTAATTCGATTTTTTTAACTCAAAGAAAAGGTGGAAGTATCTGCTTATAGTATAAATATTACTCAGTCTCAAATTGAAAGAAGTGCACAACTGGTTTATTATTGTAAATGGGATCAGGGTTGACTAAGTATTCTGACACTGTAGAATCTTAATAGTGATTGCGTATAGCAAGTAGCAGTATTGAAATACCCGACTTGCGAAAAACGAAAAATACAAAAATAAAAAAAGTGATATCTAAGTGACACTGTTGGTGTTTATATATATAATAAAAAAGTGATATCTAAGTGACACTGTTGGTGTTTATTTTTGTATTTGTAGTTTTTCGCAAGTCGGGTATTTCAATACTGCTACTTACAGGATCTTAGTTGCGACTGGATGAGCTAAGACATAAGCCAACGCCATACGAATACGGAAGGCAACGGCAAACCACTATATTAAAAATCGTAAGATATCCGTAATCGAATCATCATGAAATGAGAAGACAGAGTAAGCAGACGTGTATTGATCATGTGTATCGGAGATTAAGATCCGGCAGGAAAGGAGTCAGGGCTTTTCAGGTAGTCAACCAGCGAAATCCCTACCAGAAAAAGAAAAAAACAGACCGTCAATTCAAAATTGGAACGTGAAATATGACCAGCATATTCGAATCGGGAAAAACACACAATGTAGTTCACGGAATGAAAATAATTAAGATCAATATTTTAGGAATAAGTGAAACCCGATTGATTACAAATGGAAAATGTAAAGTTAGAGACCATACGTATTACTCTTCGGGTAATAATGACACACAACAGCAACATGGCGTAGCAATAATACTGAACAATGAAATCTCACAACAAGTCCAGAATTTTCTACCTTTCTCCGAAAGAGTTATGCTACTACAACTAAAAACGAAAGACAGAAAAATAAATATAATTCAAGTCTATGCCCCAACGGCCGAAAAAGATGACGAAGAGGTGAAATCGTTCTATGAACAAATTCAAGAGGCATTAAAAACTACACAAACACGTTCTTTTAATTACCTAATAGATGGGTGTACACGTGGAAATCGCCAAGAGATAATGAACATCAGATAATGAGAAATCAAATAGATTACATAATGATCAAAGAAAGATATCGGAATAGTATTCTATCTATCTATCTAATTAGCCTTCTTCGGTCCATCTTTGGACATAGGCCTCCCCAATCCTTTTCCATTCTTCTCTGTCTGTCGCAACAGTCATCCATCTAGAGCCCACGTGCTTCTTGATATCATCTGCCCATCTCATTTGAGACGGAATAGTATTACTGCAGTCAAAACACAACCTGGAGCAGATATAGCATCTAACCATAGTAGCATATATGAAAATTAAAATAAAAAGAATAGAGAAGACAACAAAAGAAGAAAGAACTGATATAAATGCACAAAGAGATCAAGAAAAAAAAATATCAAAGAAAAATAAATGAACGTCCAAACACCGTACAGATTGCATTGTCCTTCAAGGAATCATCAATAAAAGAAAAGAAAACATCAACAAAAACTGGGAAAAAATAAAGGCTAACTTAATAGAACCTTCAAAAAAGTATATACGTAAAACCAAAGAAAAGAAAAAAGATTGGATGAAGGACGAAATATTAAACTTGATGAAAAAAAAAAGAAGAGTATGTATGGAAAAAAATAAATCATTGTACCAGCAAACACAAAACGAAATGCGAAAAGCAAAAGAAAATTGGTTAAAAGAAAAGTGTGATGACTTTAATTTAGACAGGAAAACAAAAGAATTAAATAGAAAACCAGAATACAAATAAAATATACTAGTTGATGAAAAAAGAGACACAGTAATGGATAAAGAAAACAAATTAATGGTATGGGCAAACTATATAGAACAGCTGTTTAACGACAAACGAGACAAAATAGATAATGTATATTTCGCTGAAGGGACTGGACCAGAAATAACAGAAAGTGAAATAAAACACACAACTAAAGAAATGAAAACTGGGAAAGCAGTAGGACCAGACTAAACACCGACAGAAATATTGCGCTGACTGCAATATACATATTATTGTCGAATTATTTAATGTCATAGAACAGAACAGGTATATTACCTAAAGAATGGCTTCGATCAACATTCATGGCTATACCGAAAAAGAAAAACGCCAGACAATCTGCCCTGCCCTGTTTATCTGCCTTTAGCGCCAGTTTTCCAAAGGAGTGCCTTGCCACTTCCCAGCTTATCAGCCCGAAGCCATTGGCCAATAAGTGGGGGGATTGCTTATATCGGCAATCTCTTGGACGTTAGAGCCTCGTTTGTTATTTGGCAGGATGCACCAAATAGTCAGGATCAAGACCATTACATTGACATTTGGAACAGAGAGGCTATACTTTGCGTATCACTATCCTTTACTTTTCAAGCAAGAATAATGGAAGAAAAAAAAAACAAGAAGATGTGGTAGGAAAGCGGTCCCAGAGGAGTACAACAACACAATAAAGAATGATCTCATAGAATTGAACTAGAAACTGTAAAAGAAAAACTAGAAATAGGAATAAATGGAAAGAAACAATTAAACAGTTAAGGAGACAATGATGATGTTGATAATGGTCTTCATTCTCTCATTTACACTTTCAGTTAAATTGGTATTTTTAACTTGTTTCTATTGTTAAATAAACCAAGCAAGTTTTCAATGTGGTAACATTATTAATTCTTAACAGATATCCAAAATTATATAAACAAATGCTTCGTTAACTCCCTCTATAGACGAGAAACTAACCTAGTTAGGTTTAGCATTCGCGTACTTTGTTTTGAACTTAAATAGTCTCTTTGCGTGTGTTCTTGTCGCTGAATCCAGACGGGCGCAGCCAGAACACATCCAACGACAACGACGGTGACAGTGACGATAGCGACAACAACGACTATGCCGAGGATCCCTTCGGGCCTGGGAAGTCTACTCCACATGAAGGTAAGTTGAAATCGGTGAATGGTTAGATTGTTGATATTTGCCTTACTTGCATTAGATTTTATTTATCTCTATATATAGAGAAGGAAAAGTAAGTAGTTTTAATTTAACACAAATATGTATAGTCTGGGGAAGATAACGTAGAAAGCGGAAAGCTCTGGCAACACCGTTAACCGTTTACAGATACGGTGATCAGGGAAACGATGGGCATGAAGTTTGAACATTGTGTTGACAATGGCCAAACTGTTTTCGGTTGCAAAATCTATTAAACGTTTGCCTCGGCTGTTTTTAATATCTACAGTTTCCTACATTTTGGATGTTATCATGTCTTGTTTCTCCTACCTTAGCGTTAAAATAGCCTTAAAATCGAGTGGTTCTTTAGATGGAATATTTCTTACTCTGTCTGCAATAAGGAAGTATACGTCTTCCACTTTATTGTCTAAGTGGTTTTATGTTTCTAATTTTTGCGTCATTTTACTGTTACTTGATACCACGTATACTGTTAGTAATGGCGACTCCATTGTCTTTGCAATTCTGTTAAAGATAACCAGTTGATGGTTTAAACATAAGAATATGCATATTTACACATGGGTCCAACCTACCAGTAGGTCGAAGTCGATCATTGATTACATTATAGTTAAACAAAAACGAGACTTAAGATTATGAATGTGAAGACCTAGACAGGTTTTATGTGTGGTAAGATCACCATCTTCTTACAGCAAGCATATATTTCCTCTATTTAATAATCACCTAAAGGCCAAAAAACGAAGAATTCTAAGACAATAAGGTGGTCCATTCAAGTTGTGTTAAAAAATACCCGGAATTTTAAAGTTCGCGGTTTTGAAGAGTGTAGGCGTCAAAAATATTTTATTATACTCCTAAAGTATAAAAATTTTTGCAGCTACTATCATTGTTTGCTTTGTTTGTGGCCACTAACGTTTTATTAAGCTCAGCGATTTCATTTGTTTAAAAAAATTGATCAAAGAATTTGTATTAAATTTTGCGTAAAAAGTAAAATAAAGTGTAACAAAGTGTGTAAAATGTTAATAAAGGCCTATGATTAAGATGCTATGAAAAAAACAAGTGTAACAATAAAACACTGAAAACTTTGTTTTAAACTTCCACAAAATTTATTTTAAATCTTATTACTACAGCTGTTTCGGCTGATTGCCTTTCTCAAGTGATCTATTTTTGGCTTGGGTTTACAAATTTATAGTCTCTAATGAAATAGGTGAGGAGGGGAGAACTGTTTGTCTCAAGTTGGTCATTCAGAATTATATCTGTGTTTTTTAATTTGTTGATTTCCATAGATTCTAACAAAGATTATTCATTTAGTTATGCCTTTATTTTGAATGTGAAGAATTTTAAATTTGTCATTAAAAGAATGATTATGATCTAGAAGGTGAAGTGCGTATGTCGAATCTGTTTTTCTATTCTCGAAAGCCCTTTTATGTTCTGCTATTCGTTTATCAAAGTTTCTACCAGTTTGACCGATGTAAGTTTTGGGCAGTCGCCACATTGAAGTTTGTACACACCACTATTTAGGTGTTTTTTATTTTGGCTCTTGTTATTTTTAATATATTTGCCTAGGTTGTTATTGTTCGGAAAGCTGGTGTTATTCCTTTCTTTTTTATGTGTTTGGCTATTTTTGTTGTTATTTTGCCCGTATATGTAATCGAGCAGAAGTTACTGGGTTTTTTCTCTGGTGGTGGAAATACTAATTTCAGGGCTTTCTTGTGTAGTTTTTGATTTAACATTTTATTAATTGTTTGTTCGTTGTATCCGTTGTTTACTGCTATTTGCTTAATTATATTTAATTCTGTCTCAAAGTTGTATTTTGACATCGGAATTTCTGTTAATCTATGTAACATACTATGATAAGCTGCCAGTTTATGTTGTGTTGGATGGGATGATGAATTGTGTATAGTCGTGTCAGTATGGGTAGGTTTGGGAAATATGGAGAAGTCATGTTTGTTTTGAAGTCTGCTAATTTTTAAATCTAAAAAATTTATGGATTGATTTTGTTCTGTTTCTATTGTAAATTCAATGTGAAATGAATTAATATACGATAAAAATTGGTCGAGTTGCCTGTTAGTTCCTGTGAAACATACCAGTACGTCGTCTACGTATCTCCACCAATATAAAAACTGTTTGAATACGGGATGTTTTGAAATCTTTGTCTCTAGATGATCCATAAAAATATCTGATAGCAATGGGCTTAGAGGATTACCCATTATAAGTCCTGCACTGTTATTTGTATATATTTTATTATTAAATTCAAAGTAGTCCTGGTTTATGCAAACTTCAAGAAGATGTAAAATTTCAGATGTAATTATTGGATTTGTACTGTTTTGGTCTAAAAGGTTTTTTACTAGAATAAAAGTTTCTGTAGGAGGGATACTAGGAAAAATATTTTTTACGTCAAATGAAATTAATCTGGAGTTGGTAATTGAAAATTTTGTATTTTATTAACTAGTTTTATTGTATTTTTTATGGTAAATTTAGGTGAAAATTTAGTGTGTTCTAAAATAATCTCTAACAGTTTTTTTTGAAATTTTATATGACGGAGCTGTATAAAAAGAAACTACAGGTCTTATTGGGTGATCCGGTTTGTGTAGTTTAATGAAAGAGTATAATTTAGGAGACTGTGGGTTCATGATATTGAGGTATTTCTGTTCTATTGGATTTAGTATTGATTTTGAATTTTCTAACGCTAGCTTAATTTGTTTTTGATATTTTTCTGTCGGATCTTTGTGTACATTTTCAATATTTTGATTATTTAAGAATTCTATTGTTTTGATATTATATTCTATTTTATCTATAGTAATAGTAGTGTTACCTTTGTCTGCTTTTGTAAACACAATGTTGTTTTCTATTGATTTATTTTTAATTGAAATTGCTGTTTTATTTTCTTTATTAGGCGTTTTATTGTTACATAAAATGAATTTCCATCAAGTAACGGTCGAATCCATCAATTATTAAAAAAAAAAACAAGTGCTTGCGAGTGGTATAAGCGTTTTCATCGCCATCAAAGTCGTTGATAAATTTGGAATATCAATTGGCTCATGCCATAGCATTTGTTCAAATGTTTTGGGTATAAAGCGCGTGTGTTTCGGTGAAACATTTGCTAAAAAAATTTTGAATTTTGAACAAAAACAGCTGCGAATTGAAGTTGCTCAGGAATCACTAAATCGTACTATTCACGAGTTATGTAAGTTTCAATCTATCTCGCTACACCTATTGGTTTCATTTCAATTCAATGCATTTCTGGTTCCCTTTAGTTTTCTTTAATGTTGTTATTATTCTATTATCTTATAGTTTTTATCCTTATGAAAGGCTTGTATGTCAATAATAACATTTATAATTATCGATAGATGACTTATCGACTTTCATTTAGAAATAATTCGTAAACACATTAAAATTTAGTACATTTTTAAAGTTTTTAATCGTTATTACTTAAAATTAACATTACCAAATGTAAATATAAAATTTAGTTAATAATTTATATAATGGATTTGTAGGAAATATTTAGCATAATCATGTACATAAGGTACATGACTATTTTGCGAAATCATGTTCATAACCAGTATTTTCAAGTCATTTTTATAAACTGTGTTTTCTTGTGAAAACATAATACTTCATTATACCTCAATATAAGTCGTTTTCCTTTTGGAAAAACTGAAATTTGGGAAAAGAAATTACCTCTTCTTTCAAGCTATCTTTACTTTGCAGGAAGTTTTTCGGAATAGCTAAGTTCAAAATGTGTTAAACCATATTCTCAGGTGTTGATTACTTTCGTTTTTCTAGGTCCTCCATTTTCTGACTACTTGACCTAAATAACGAGTTGCAACAAGCCATTATTCTGTTCATTACTCATAATATGGGTGGTGTATTTTAATTTACGCTGTTTTATTGTATCGTTCCCAATTATTTAGTTCCTTTTTAAAGAAGCTTTGTAAAGCATTCAAGTCTCTACCCTGTACGATAAAGTAAAAAAGAAATAACATCTGAGGATGGAGACTAATTCTGAGTAGTAAATCGTTATTACTGAAGATAAATTACATCTTTATGCATGTTGATGCGGAACGAAGAAAAATATCGAATTCTTCAACTCGTTATGCAGGGTAAAGTATTTGGCAGAAGAGGACCGGGACGCCGTCGTATCTCGTGGTTGAAAAATCTCCGATAATGGCTTGGGATGACCTCAGCGGAGCTGTTTCGCAGAGCAGTCAACAAAACCATGATAGCCTTGATGATCGCCAACATCCGGACCGGATAAGGCACTGAAGAAGAAGAAGAATGCATGTTGATCCTGCCTTCTCTCTGCATCGTTTCGATAAAATAAATATGGATGTCGCAGTTGCCATTTGTGCATCTTGTTCTTCTAAAAAGAAAACAAGCAAGCAATTTAATTGAACCCAGCCTGTGATAATAATTCATTGGAGCAAGGTGTTTCGCGCTCCAATGCTCTATACCATCTCTTTCCCCCCTATAGCAGTCTGATCCATAGAAAATCCATTTGACAGTGACGATAGTATTGAAGATAGAGACTATGATCCTACACAAGACGAAGAAAATGTCTTCACTAGCTAACACCTGGGCAGATTAAAAAGAATTAAAATTACAAAGACTAAACCTCTTCACAACGTAACTAAAAACAAACAGGAGCCATTATCAAGATTAAATTTTATGCTGAAACTTTATGAATAGTTAACGAAGCCGTGGCAACCAATAAGACTCTAAACAGTACCAACTTTATCAAGAAGTCTCAAAGAGAGTCTTTCCATGCTTTTGAATTTAACGCATGTTGCTGAAGACCGCCGAGGCCTCCAAGGAAAGGAAAACGGACTTACTGTAGTTTATGCTCTACAGCAAAGAAACGAATGACAACTACCAAATGTTGCAAGTGTGGGAGTGCTTTGTGTGGAGATCATCAAATAAAAGTGTGTATGGAATGTGTACATCAATAGAAGGTTATTGTTTTTTTATTTGTAATGTTTATTATATGCACAGGTTTATCGTTTACATATTATTACAAGATTCTTTTCTGTGTCAAAAGTATCTATTTTATGTTGTTTATGTTTGGATTATTATTATTTCAATGTTTTTTTTATTTGTATCGTTCCTAAATAAACTTCTCTTAAAATTAAACTATGTTGTTTTAGTAAGATATGAAATAAAAAGAAAATACTAGACCTAAATAAGTGAATACGTAAAATTTACGTATAGTTAGCATTTACTTATGTTAAAGAAACGTTAGTACTCAAGAGTTAAAAACTTTTCTTTACGTCAAAGAACCATAATTCTGATAGAGTTTGGTACCTTAGGCTTTAAAATCAAATAGTGATGACCGCAACTCTAACTAAATAAAATATACCACTAACTAATTCTTAGAAATATATACCAAATCGTAGATTGAACGAATTGATAAATGCCTAGTTTACTAGGCCAAAAATGAGCGATTGCTTCAATCTCATCATAACTGAAATTTACTGTATTTAATCTCAATGTAATTCCGCTCCAGGTCCAGACGGTATACCATTAATTTTTTTTGTTAAACCTACCAGAAAATGGAAGGTCTTGGCTATTAAAATTGTACAATTTTATTTGGACAAATCAGGTTTTTCCATCTGTATGGTCAGACAGCATTATAATTCCTCTGATCAAACCCAACAAAGACAGAACAAATATAGACTCGTACCGTCCTATATCACTCACTAATGTAGCATGCAAGTTCTAGAAAAAATTATAAACAAAAGACTGTTGTGGTACTTAGAACAAGAAAAACTTTAAATTCCTCAGCAAAGCGGCTTCCGTCAAAATAGATCATGCGTAGACAACTTAGTAGATTTAGAGTCAGAGATACACTAAGGTTTTGCAAATAATCAAGAGACTATCGCAGTATTCTTCGATATCACCAAGGCATACGACACGGTTTGGAGATTTAATATTATATCAAAATTACAACAAATGGGGAATCAGGGGTAATATGTTAAGATTCATAGAAAACTTTCTTCAGTCAAGAGCTTTCTCTGTTCGCGCCGATAATTCCACTTCATCAAAAAAAATTCAGAAAAAACGGAACACCTCAGGGGTCAGTTATGAGCCCAACTATTTTTCTCGTGGCTATCAACGATATACTGGATCACTGCTCCCGCTAGTTAAGGGAAGACTATATGCCGACGATCTGGTTCTATTTGCAAAGGGCAAGAATATGAGAATGATTCAAAACACTTACAAGAATCTATTTATAAATTAGAGATATGGTCAATGTCAGTAGGCGTGCAATTCTCCCCACTAAAACAAAATGCATGCTTTTCTCAAGAAGGCACCGGCCACAGAGAACATCTTTAAAACTGTATGGCGAGCCGCTCAAATTCTCAGAAAAACTTAATTTTCTCGGAATGGTATTTGACCAAAACTAACATGGAAACAACATATTTTAGAAATAAAAAAGTCTTGCCAAAATGGATTAAATGTAATGAAAACATTATCAAATAAAAAATGGGGATTCGACGAAACCACGTTATTAAATATTTATAAGTCACTCATTAGATCAAAAATAGATTATGGGGCTATTGTGTATGCCTCCGCTAAAAAACATGTTACCAAGCAACTTGAAGTCATTCAGAACACAGCACTTCACATTGCCATAGGTGCATTTAGAACCACACCAGTTAAGAATCTCCAATGCCTCACAGGAGAGCCACCTCTTGATCTACGAAGAAATTATTTATGCCTTTCGTATGCAGCAATCAGTCGCCAGCAACAAATTTCACCCAGTATTTCAAAATGCATTTACGGACCGTTACCTAGAAGCTTATAACAAAAGTAGGTTCGATCCACCATTCTACGAAAGAGTTCGAAGAAATTTAAAAGATCTACAACTCCAAATTTCTGACCTCTTTCCTTCAATGTAAAAAACTCCACCTCCCTGGTTAATCATGATTCCCGAAATCAATACGACGATCATGTTTAAAGGAACTCGAGACTTACGGGAAAAGTTTTGCATTTATACAGATGCCTCCAAATCTGCAAATGACGTAAGAGCAGCATTTGTCACTTCATATTCCTCTTCCCAATTTAAATTAATGCCAGCCACTTCTATATACACAGCAGAATTATATGCAATATTACAAGCCCTCATTTATATTAAAAGTACAAAACATTCTTCTTCCGTCATTATCACAGATTCTCTAAACTCCTTAACAACAATCGGTCAACTATATACTAAGAACCCTATAGCCTTACTTGTCAAGAAAGAACTTGCTGCCTTACAAGAATCTGGTTCAGAAGTCAAATTTATGTGGGTTCCATCTCACACGCGAATACAAGGTAATGAAAACGCAGACCTCCAAGCAAGAGAAGCTACCAAAAATGATCAAGCTATAATAGTGTCAAAGACTATCTGCAGTTATATAAAACAGTTCGTTAAAGAAAAAGTGATTAGTGCGTGGCAAAATAAGTGGAACTTATTGGAATCTAAATTAAAAGAAATTAAATCGACAGTGAAACCGTGGCGCCTAGTAAACTTAAAAAGAGCTGACCAAGTCAAAATTTCTCGACTTCGATTATGTCATACCAATATTACTCATACAGCACCTAATAAGCAAAGAAGACATTCCAGTGTGTGATTACTGTCAAGTCAATATTACTGTTAAACATCTCCTAACAGAATGTGGAAATATACAGTTAACAGACAAAATAACAATATTTCCAGTGACTTAAAAACAGTATTAGGTGAACATTTAAATACTAAAAACTTACTTAGATTTCTAAAAGAAACATCTTTGTATAATTTAATATAATGTAGTAACTAATGTAAACTAATGTCGCTAATGACCCAGGTGGTTGAAGCGACTATTATTAGTAAATAAAAAAAATGTCAATGTAAAAATCAGTTACAAGTAAGTCAAATATCATAAATCTGCCTGACCAATTCCTCAGTAGGTACTCCAGATTTCGGTATTTTTATTATTTTGTCGGGTACCTTATGTCCAACACCTCACAAATCATAATTATATAGTTTAATCATATTTCAATAGTTCTCAGTTCAGCCTTGGGCTCAGTAAGTAGCTTTGACGAAGATTCCTCTGAAGTAGCCGAAGATCCTACAGATTGTCTCTCCGACAGGAAGACCGCCTTGGCTGAGGGCTATCAATTGTACGTGCCGGAATGTACACCAGATGGACGGTACCAAAAGGTAGGTTACTAACTCTATACTAAAAAGTATAAACTAAGAAGTACTTCTATAGTTAATTTGTCACATAAAAATAAGGAAAAGTATTTTTTCTGCAGACGTCCCGAAAAAAAAAACTTTCGATATGATTTATTAAATGGAAAGGGCTATTTTACACAATTCGTACCGAAAGTAGCTACTTTCTGGACTATTTTTTTCACTTTCGGGACGATTTTGGGATGTTTAAAAATTCGGTCAGTACTGCGTTTAAAACAAGAATATAAAACAAAGGATATATAATATAATAAATAGGAACTGTTACCCAATATTAACAAAAAATCCAATAACACTTAAAAATTTAAAATCAAAATTTTTTGCTTTCACTCCGAATTAAAAATATCAATATCCACAGAAACAGAATATTATTCCAACAACAACAGGATGTAGCGACATCTCTTGGAACCACCACGAAACTGAAATCAAAGAATATAGACTCTTATAAGCGTCTATATTCTTTGCTGAAATACTGCGAGATCATCCAAATTTCTACAAATACACAAAATATCAATTGGTCCCAGGTACATTTGGCTGAAGATACAACACTTTCCCCTATAGAGGTAGAGCAATTTTAATTAAAGATAAAATAATTACAGAAGAACTAAATGTATTAGATAATTATAATTTTAATGAGCATATAGATGTTATCAAACAAATCCCAATATTCATAATCTAATTGAATAAAAAAAATTTGATGCCTGAGCAAAAAAAAATTTTAAAATTAAAAAACAAAGTTGGATAAATGACTGTAAAAGTCTTAATTCTCACTATCATATCAGCAATATCTGGAAGAAAGTACATCGCCACAGAAACCGAAAATAGTCCAATAAACTTCTGATAAACTCAAAAGTTGCATGGATAGAAGATTTCCACTTCAAAGTTTCACCTCCTCTGGTTCCAAGTCAAATAAAGGAAGCTACAGTCACTGTATCCAGAGAATACTTCAATCTAGGAAAACCATTTGAATTGTGGGAATTAAATCATGGACTCAAACAAAATAATAGTTCATTTTCAGGGATGAACTTTCTGCCTATAGAATACAAATGATTATTATTAAAAATTTTTAACAATACATATATGGTAAAATAAGAATTTAATTCCCAAAACATGGAAGGACTATATTGTATTGCCTATAAAAAAAGCCAGGAAAGTAGATAATAATGTTGAGTCTTACACCATAGACAACTAGATGTGTGTTCACTGAATGGACTCTAGAGCAGTTAGATATATAAATGGGTATGTCTACAAACATAATTATCAAATTTGACACGATACCAATCCAGATGAGATTTAAAAGGAATGACAGCGTCATTGGTCCATATTTCTTTGAAATAGACGTTGCACAGCTCATCTGCACGGCGTTTTGATGTGTACTGGCCACCGACATTGTGCGATTTGACTCCGTTTGACTCTTTCCTGTTGGTTCAAACCACATCAGTCCTCAAAATCAACATAAACTATCTCATCTGTCAAATTTAGTCTGATTTATGCGCCAGAGCTATGGAAAATTCAACGTTTCCGATTAGTGCCACCCAGCCAAATCTGGCGGATATTTGAACGTTTTTATATTTTATTCCATTATAGACTTTGTTTTGTTTAAGTACAAAGATATGAAGCTCTTAATTATAGAAAATCTTTATTAAAATTCATCATAAAAGAAATAATATTTTTTAGATTCAATGCTACAAATCAGCTGGATATTGTTGGTGCGTTAATGAAGACACTGGAAAAAACATTCCAGGAACTTCGATCAAAAATGGAACTCCAAACTGCGATCACCTAAAAACAAATACCAGAGTGATGAAGGGTTGTCCTGATGATAAAAAATTTATTTTCCTAAAAGAACTTTTAGCCTTTCTATACACGAAGATGTCGGAAATTACAAACGGAACCAACACTAGGTATGATATATAACATATGACTCTAAGTTGATTACGCTAAATACACTATTCTAGCTGTGAAAAAATATTTCTTAAAGCTTAGTTTCTTTAATCCCACTCTATAATTGATTCCTTATTGCTTTTGAGTCATTAAATTTTTCTAAATTGTATTTAACGTGTTGTTTTTTCCAGTAGCTTCAACAACCTTGCGTGGATAGCTTCCAAAGAAGAGCAAGTGGCTACTTGGAGTTTCGTGATCTTCGACAAGAACAAAAGCAAAATGCTGGAGCGAAACGAATGGAAAGCCTTCAAGGACATGGTGGGAGGAGTGAAGGGCTTGAGGAAGTGCGGCAAAAAGTTGCCCAGGTACTGTGATATCAACAAAGACAGACAAATCAGTATGACGGAGTGGCTGGAGTGTCTGAGTCTTAAACAAGGTAAGTTAAGTGTTTTAATTGGTATTATAATATAAATGTATATCTAAAGCTTAAACTATATGTATCCACATCCAATTATAAAAGGTAGAAAGTAATTCGACTTAATTCATTTTCTTAGATGGTGGTTTTTGAATTGAAATGAGATTTGACCTTTTTTATGAATTTTATTACATTACCAACACATATCTCACATATATATGTTAAAAACAACTGCTTAGAGTCAACAAATTGACCATTTATTTATTAATTATCCAAATTTTCGTACGTGCTGGATGTAAGAGTACGTAGAGGTACTAATATAGACTTGGACCACTATCTGGTTAGAGCAAACCTGATTAAGAAGAGTCTAGTTACAAAAGTACAAAATATAATAATGAGTTTTAAATGAAAAGCAATGTTGTTAAGCAAAGTCGATGAAAACTTGTAAATTATCTGGTTAGACTAGACTAAATATATATTTCTATTTTTTAGGTGCCAGTAGTAGCAGTATTCCCGGTTTTCATGCGTCCCCTAGGGCTGGCAAAACAAACCCTCTCAGTATGCTGAAAGACGATTAAAAACGTTTTGTATAGAGAAAAGTCTTTGTATTATCTTTACTTTAAAGGAGGAAATTCTTTACTGTGGTCAAACCTAAAAAGAGTGTTTTTCCTCAGCTATAGGCAACCCAAAATGCACACGTCAAGTACATAAGATACAGAATTTCTAAATATAGGCAACACAAAAGTCATGTTTGGAAATAAGATTTGGATATTCTCAACCCTAAAGTTTTGTTTAAGGTTGGTCAAAGTTGAGAAATGACACGGAAAAACTTTAAAGATAATACAAAACATTTTAGAATCCTTTATTATTTAAAGTACAATTGATAAATAACTTAGGTTGTTAAAAACGTGAGTTAAAACCATCAAAATAAGTGAGTTATTATTTAATTTTTTGTTTGTTTCTAGTTTATGAATTTTCAGTGATTTTGTAACTTTTCTAGTACTGATTATTTTATTAAGTTTGGTAATTTTTAAGGATTCCAGTATTTTTGGTTTGCCGTATTTTGTTGTTTTATTCTGTATAGAATGTATGGTACATTTAAACTACTTAATGTTACATTTGAACTACTTTAAGGTGTACTGTAGGATAAGGCTTTGATAAATATTTCGACTTTCAATTGACTCTTGAATTAGTGGTTTTTTAGATAGACCGCAAAACAAAATTTTCCTTATGTCGTCTTTAAAATTCCGTGAGCACTGTATCTTAAATCCTCCTTGAATAGTTACAAAGATTGCAAAGACTGGTTTTATGAAACCAATTAGCAGACCACACAGACAGTCTGATTCTCGATTTTTGTGATTATAATTTAGTGTACAGCTTTTATGTTTTAGATATCCTGCAAACAGATGTTAAAAATAGAGTTTTTTAACTGTTTCGAAATTGATGTAATGGTTGTTGCATACATAGTGGCGACAACAACGGTCTCGACTGTTATAATAAAAGTTACTGTATATTTAATGTATAGCATGTTGCATGTTTTCACTTTCACAGTTCCACTGCTGACGTGATTTTGGAAATATTTTATGCCTTCGACGGTCATAACTATGATAAAAAATTACAATTATTAAAATACAAAAGTATTGTGTGGCCGTTTAACTCAAACATGTATCCTAAACATCTGTTCGGAGGATATAATTTGCGAATTGTATATGTATATAATAAAATAGAAGGTACTTGTGTATGTTTAAGTTATGTTAAATTATTCTAATGTTTTAATAAAGAAAGATATTAATATTGCGAAGGCTACCTGCAGAAAACCTATTTTCTTTAAGTATCAGTGATAAGAACACCATATTTAATGCGAATTGGAGGTAGAATGTTCTTTTTCTCCTCTAGAATTATTGTACTTTTTTAACTACCTACTATATACAATTGACAAATGAAAAAAAAAAAACACTTTTTTTGTTCTTAAACTTATTTTTATCAATATTTGAAAATAGAAAAATTAAAAATTTCCTAAATCAATATTTAATGTAGGCAACTTGTTCAGGTAATCTTCACAATATTAACTCAGTGACTATTATAGTGAAGATATTGTAAAATACTTAATAACTTGTCGTTGGTGATGCACACTGTCGATATGATATCACTACGAGGAAAAAGTTTAATCTTGAGCTTTCTGATATTACCATAAAACAAAATACTTTTAATTTCCATGCAATACATCGGGTAATTTGGCATGTTTCTGATTGATTCTGGACTATCCAACTGATATATTTAAACCCGACTTTTCGTCTTTAATGAGGGATGATGTAAAGTCATGGGAAACGTACCTCAGTCTTAGAAAATAAATTTGGGTCATGCAGGATTCCTTTTGCATGACTCCGAGATGACAAATCTTGTTCCTCCACCATTGCGCCAAAGCCAGAGTTCTACCTGCTAAAGAATCCCGTCTCAATCATCAACTATCTCCCTGATTATCTTACAGGTACTTAAATTTGGCATGACATCCTTCTGCATTCTTATTCTTGCACTTTGCTCCACTGAGTGCTACTTTACTCTTCTCCTTCTCTCTTCATGCTCGACTTTTACTACTTCACCTTCTCCTTTGCAAAATCTATTACTTTTATGCTTAGTATTGTCTCCTGCCATGTCTGTGAAATATTTTTTTATCCTAACAGACAATTGATTGATTGTGGCCTGTATACTAGTTCTCTTTCAAGCAGATTCCCCTCGGCTACTCAAAAATCACAAACCAAGAGTATATCAGACAGCCGCCAGCCTATGTAACTCTAATAATGTTCTTTCTGAAACAGTACTTACTACCTGGGTGACAGATCTCCTGACTCTTCAGTTATTACATCGATATGTAGAGTTCTGTCATACAAATCGCATGATAAAAAGCAAACAGGTTGATACTTCTGTTTTGGTAGTAGTACGAGCCTCGAGATCTTCTAATTCCCCGGGAATTACTGTACTTCAATGCGTTTATGTCTTTCAAAAGCAACACTGGCTTCAGATTACCAACTCGTTTAACTGCTTCTGTATGATTTGAACTGTCCATGGTATACCAGTCCTCATACAGATTGCTACAGTTTTCTCCAATACCTTTCTTTTCAAGTCAGATATTGCTGAACCTAATCTAACCCATCTTAACATATTCATTCTCTCACTCCACTCATCAACCTTAGTATTTCTAATTGTGCAATGTACATTTATTGTATTTTTTTTAATTAATCTCTTGCGAATGTTTCTCGCAGGCAAAATTTTTATTGACTTAATTTCATCAATATTATGATCTGCTATACCCAAATAATTAATATTAGCCATATCCCTGCCAAATAACTGGAGACTACCTTGTATACTCCCAACTATTTTCTGTGTTTTTGCCATAAATACACCTTCGTTTACACTTACCCCACATACACCCATCTTTTAACATTCTCCATTTGCCTTTATTTAGGCATCATTTTTCATCTTATTTCGATATCGAGCACAAACTTATACTATTTTTATACAAAAAATTATTGACCTGTTATTATGCAACCTACATTACGTTATAACGTAATATTGTGAATGTATTAGCGACATCTACACAGTTTTTAAACAACATACTTGTTTCTTGGCGTGCTTTTCAGAAGAGTACAGAAAGTTTGACTAGATGGCGACACCATTTTTGAAATAAAATTTACTCTTATAAATAATATAATAAGAAAACATAGATTAAACTCTTTTATTAACTTTGGATATCATGCGAAGTGTGTTAACTATATTATAAAGTGACATAGAATTAAAAATCCGATTATTTGTAGCCTAAAAGTTTAATCCTATTATTAAGCCCAGTTCAAAGATTGTTTACTGCGAAACAAACTTAGAAAACGGGCTCTAACATAGTTTGTTTTTGTTTTATTTATATTAAATATCTTTGTGATAGTAATACATTAGAACAAAAACAAAATACCTGTTTTAAGATGTGATGTAAAATACAATTTTTTTAATGATATCGATTATGAAAAGAATAGTTCTTTGTTAAAGTATTTTGAACTTGAATAAACAGTTTTTGTTACACATTTGGTTTTTATTGTAGGTTTTCTTTGTATTATTATCTATTTTACAAATATGATGAAAATTACTGTATCTTATCGATACAGGGGAGTACATCATGTTAAGAGAAGCTTCTTATTTTTAATTTTACAATGACATTTGACATTAGACATTATCTACAGATAAAATGTTTATTGATGTCTATATTCTTTCATTATTATTTTTCCTAAGTAATTTGTATCAATATGAGCATATCTGTCTTTGATCCAAGTATTGGGTTCATGTAATGGAGCATTAGTGACTTCGTTGTTTGTTACATGATATCTTCAGGATTCTTCTATACACCCACAGTTCAAATGCTTCCAACTTTTTAGTAGTCGACGCGTTAAGTGTCCATGCTTCTATCCTGTAAAGCATAGTCGAGAAAATATAACACCTTGCCTAACTCTCAAGTCTAATTTTAGTTCTGTTCCACACAGTACCTTTCTCATTTTATTGAAGTTTGTTCGTGCTTTCTTTATTCGAACTTTGATTTCCTTGGAGTAATCGTTTGTGTGATTGATTATTATGACACGATAATTGGCTTTTTCAACTTGTTCTAAAGTTTTACCGTTAATTGTCAGGATTTCATCAATATTTTTGGTTTTTAATATCCTCATAAATTTAGTTTTCTTGATGTTTATTGATAATCCATATTCTTCTTCATACTCAATTATATTGTTCATTAGCTTTTGGAGGTTGGCTATTATGTTAGGATCGTCCGCATATCTAATGTTTCATAGTGTGGAACTTCCACTCGAACATCGACAAGAAGCAGACCATCCAGAGAGACTTGAAAATGGCAAGTGAGATCTTGCCGAAACGTCGTCAAAATGGTTTCTATCAAAACCAACAACATTTAACGCGGAGTCAAACCCGGAATACCATTGATATAACATACAGCTCCCGCGGAAATATCAAAACTAACATATATATATATATATATATATATATATATATATATATATATATATATATATGTATATATATGTATATATATATATATATATATATATATATATATATATATATATATATATATATATATATATATATAACCGTCTAATAGGTAATTTAAAGAACCTGTTTGTGATTATTAAACTTTGTTCTTGGCAGAATTGTATTAGACGATCTCCTGTACCGTTACATTCCCCTAATCCTTGATCTCCTATTTTTGTTCCAGCTCTTCCCTTACCGACTTTTGCATTGAAATCACCAATAACTACATTTTACATTTATAATAATTTGACAGTTGACTTCATTGGCCTTTATTTTGTAGACAACTAGCTATATTTTGAGTGAAATTCTGAGAGATGCTGTTCTCCTCTCGGATAAGCTCAAATTTTAGTCCGTCTAATACGTAAAATTTTAATTTTAATAATAACAAACAATTGTCAAACAAAATTTATTGTCAAGCAATTGTCATATACTGATCCCAATGCTCTCCTGATGATTTGATGCTTTTTAGAAGTAGTTAACCTCAACGTACAATTCGAATATAAGCAAGAAAATTTATTATTTTTCTTTATCTTTTGGGAGTACAAACGTGCTATGAAATCTTCTAATTTACCGTAACTTTCATCACTGCTTTGATGTATTCCAAAAGTCATGTAGTTTCCAAACTACTGATGAATTTTAAGCTTTTGATAGTATTCTGTAGCGCCTGGTGGCCTTCCGTGTCTTTTATTGGTATTTAAAATCACGGCTCGCCCTGCTTTCTATAAGACAATTGCTGAATTTTTGCAACTGAAGTGTCTTACATCGTTTGTATCTGTAGAAATATATTTACAACGAACATATCACATTGTTACCAATAATGCATAGTCCGAATAATATTAAATAAAAAGGTAAATGATAGGTATAAAGAAATCTTGGGCATGTGTTGACACATAAGAGCCGTAGTTCAATTGGCTAAATATTGACAGTTGATAGACGGCACGTTGACAACTGACAGTTGCCATATTAGATTAGCTACGTCATTGGTTAATAGACGTGGCTTATAACTAATCTACACCTGGCGGGAAACATCAAAGGATGCCAATAAAAGATCAAAGTCTGTATTTGTATAAAAGAAAATGTGTTATATTTTGGATGCAACGAGAACAGATAGCAATATAAATCCAAGAAGTTACCATTTGAAAGCTAGATCTTAATTATTTAAAACGTGTGATTCCAAAAGTTGGTCAAACATCTTCTAACATCTTCATCTTTTATCAATCCAATCTTTTTCGTAATATCTACATTTTTCTTAGCCGTGTACGTCTCAAACAAAACTGGCAATTTTACGGCATTATACAATGAAATCACTTCGTCTATTGACTTTTCTCCCATATTTCCATAATTTTCCTTAAAACTAGTTTGCTGATTTGAGTTACACGTTTCTAACAATTTTACAGCCAACCACGAACAGTAACCTTGTTTGATGTTAAGGTGCTGAGGATGATTTCCAAATGAATCCAAAAAGTCTGCCTAAAAAAAGTAATATAATATTAGGTGTATACATATTATATAACAAAGCATAAACGAGCACATTATAATACCTTCTTCTTTTCGATATAATTAAGTTTTCTGAAAAAATGAGCTAGATGCTGGAACAGTGGTAAGTTAGGTACAGTGGCCACTTTTAAATATTTTGTTGTTGTTTGATAGATACAGACGCGCCATCTAGTGCAAAAGCTAACAATTTTAGTCACTGTAGTCGCTTACTACGCTTGACACCTGCACCATCGTTTACAGAACCATTTTGTATACGAACCTGTTGAGATGTAATACGAACCTGTTGAGATGTAATATCTAGTTTTTGATCCAGATATTACATTATTAAATATCCCAAGTCTTAGTCAGAAAACTGGTTTTAAATTGGATAAGTTAGAAGTATTCAATTCTCCTAATTTTGACACAGTTGGTAAAAATGCTTCAACTTTCAATCAAAAAAGTTTTGGCTTACTTCATCAAAATATACAATGTATATCAACAAGCATTGAAAAACTAGAGTTCTTCCTGCAATGCGAAGGTCTACATAATATATGTGTCTGTTTAACTGAGCACTGGAAATCTAAAGAACAACTAGATCTACACCATATAAATGGATTTTCTCTGGCTTCATCTTTCTGTCGTGACAGGAGGGAACATGGAGGATCTCCAATCTATGTGAAAGACGGTGTGGTTTGGAAGGAACGTTCTAATATATATGTTCTCAATCTGAGAAATATAATTTTGAAGTGAGTGCTGTTGAAATAGACTATTGCCTTTTTAATTGTGTTGTGTTGTGTATTTATCTGACTGGACGTGGCTCTATTGATGTTTTTATGTCAAAACTGGATCTAATACTTGATGTGCTAGTCTCCGAAGGTAAGGCTATAATATTAACAGGTGATTTTAATATAGATTTCAAATCAAATGCATTAAGTAAGCAGAACTTGGTGAATGTTTTAGATTCTTATGGCTGAACTGTAACTGTGAATGATTATACAAGAGTAACTGCAACTAGTAAAACTCAAATTGACTATATTGCTACAAACATAAATCACCCACAAAAAACAATGGTTGTGGAAGGTTTTATCTCTGATCATCGTGCGCAAATATTCCAATGTAGCATTAACACAGACAATGATGCCTATATATTCATCCGTTCATATAGTGAAAGGAACATAAATCGTTTTGTTCAAACCCTTGAGTCAACAAATTGGTCAGATGTATTTAATACAATTTCTGCTAAGGATAAATCATTAGCTTTTTTAAATACTATCCAAAATTATTTTCGGTCCCATTTTCCACTACTTAAATGTAAAACTAAAAAAAGTACACGTTCGAATTGGTTTACGCAGGAACTGTACAATTTAAGGGATCAGCTAAAACTTTTAGAAACGATCTGTCAGTAAAATAGTAGTCTTAGGCCAGTCCTTCATTTGGCAAAGGCAGAATATTCAATTAAATTAAAAGCTGCTAAAAGTAGTCACTTTATGAGACAGTTAAACGACTCATCAAATAAAATTATATGTATTTGGCGTTTAGTAAACTTAACAGTCGGGAAACAAAATAACTCAAAAGTACCTAGTGATGATAACAGTAATTTAGCAGATAAATTTAACCACCATTTTGTTGATTTGTTGAAATGGCTCCAAAGTTACTTGCCGCTTTGGATCCTACTAAAATAGATGGGTTTACATCGGCATCAAAAAACCGTAATAGTTCTTCTATGTTTTTATATCCAACTAATCCACAGGAAATAACTAGTATAGTCGGAAGTTTTAAATTCAAACACAGTTGTGGTTTTGATCAGATTTCCCATAAGTTATTAAAACAATGCATTCATGCTCTCGCAGATCCACTGACGGATATTTGTAATGCCTATTTTCAACAAGGAATATTTCCTAGTATGTTTAAACTACCTATTGTAATCCCTTTATTCAAAAGTGGTGATAAAGATGACCTTAACAACTATCTCACATAAGTCTCTTATCTGTGTTTTCAAAGATAATTGAAACTAGTTTATACTAGAATGAACGGATTTCTGAAAAAGCATAGTGTCTTGCATAATTTTCAACATGGTTTTACATCTTCTAAGTCTACAACTACAGCTCTTGCAAATTTCGTCAGCTTAGTGTTGGATGCTTTGGACAGACGAGAGAAGGCATGTGGTTTATTTCTCGATTTGTCCAAGGCCTTTGACACTTTGGATCATAATTTGTTGCTACTAAAACTTAAGGGGATTGGTATTCGTGGTATAGTTCTAAAATTGTTTACTTCCTACCTAGAGAATAGAAGACAAAAAGTAAAGATAACATCTAATGAACTTGTAAACGAATCAAACACATTGGATATCCATTATGGTATCCTTCAGGGTAGTGTATTGGGTCCTCTACTTTTTATAGTATTTATTAATGATATAACTTTGGTAACTAATTCACTGACTGGGGTTAACATTATCAAATATGCGGATGATACCAACATTCGAGTCACAGGAACGTCTGATCAAAATTTGCAAAATAAAACTTCACAGATACTATTTACCATCAAAAGTTATTTCTTATCCAACAAATTAGTTTTAAATGAAGAGAAATCAAAGTATATGATTTTCACGTCAAATAATTTATTAAACCATCAAGCCACTATAGAAGCAGCAATAGATAAAACAGACTGCACAAAGTTGCTGGGGGTACTTCTAGACAGTAATTGTAAATGGTCAAACCACATTTCTAATGTCGCATGTGAGCATCTAACCGTCGCATGTGATCAATAAATTTGACTTGACTTGACTTCACTTGAGAGGTGTGTTGTCTAGAAGTAGCAAGTAAGTATAAACATCTATTCAACCAATAATAAAATACATATTAATGTTCTGTATGTTTTGTGGTATACAGTATAGTATTTAAAATTTGCAGGTGATGCGAATTATGATCTATCTTCAAAGTAGTAGATTTTAGGTTATGCCTCAAATAGTAATATGCCACGGAAAATACCAAAAAATTCCGGTACTATAAAAACTACAGATGAAAATATGAGAAAAGCGATTTATGATGTTTGGGAAGGTGAATTATCACAAAAGGCTGCTACTTTAAAATACGACATTCCACGCACTACGTTTGGAGATATTTTAAAAAGTGCAACGAAAATAAAAATAATATAAATTGGACTTCAGATGTTCTTGAGGGAGCTCCAAGATTGACCCCAAATTATGGTATCAATCAAATTTTTTCTTCAACCGAGGAAAAGAACTGAGTAATTATTTACAGACGATGACCAAGCTTCATCATGGTCTCAATCCGAAAGGTGCCAGACAACTAGCTTATGATTTGGCAATTGCCAACAGGAATAAAATACCAACTTCATGGAAAGAATACAAGATGGCAGGCAAGTTTTGGTTTACAAGTTTTATAAAACGAAATTCAGAATTATCATTACGATCAGCAGAAGCAACTTCACTAGGTTGGGCAATGGAGTTTAATCGACCAGTTGTTGCACATTTTTTTAGTAATCTTAAAAAGATTTATGAAAAATATGCATTAACACCTAGTCAGGTATACAATGTTGACGAAACAACACTAATAACTGTGCAAGATAAAAGAAAAGTAATAGCCTAAAAAATACAGAAACAAGTAGGCCACATAGTTTCAAATAAAAGAGGCACTTTGGTAATCATGTGCAATGCAGTAAACGCATAGGTAATTCGATTCCGCCGCTTTTAGTGTTCTCTAAATTTTTTAAAGATTATATGGTTAAAAACGCACCTCTAGGCTCCCAGGGGTGTGCTATACCATCTGGATGGATGACAGCAGAATTGTTTGAACAGTGGATGATACATTTTATCAAACATACTAATACTATAAAGGAATCTCCTATTTTACTAATCATGGACAACCATAAGAGCCATATTTCTTTAGCACCTATTAAATTTGCAAAAGAAAATAATAAAGTCTTGTTGACTTTGCCGCCACATATTAGTCATCGCCTTCAGCTAATAGATAAAGTAATATTTGGTCCTCTAAAGAAATACTACTCACATGGTTGTCAAAATTGGTTATTGAAAAATCCTGGAGAGACGATAACAATTTACGACATAGCAGATATTTTGAGCCACGCTTATCCACTTTCTTTCTGTCCAAAAATGTGATATCAGCTTTTAAAGCTACTGGGCCATTTCAGCATTTTATGGCTTAAACCGTAACAGACATGCCAAACATACATCAAGAAGAACAACAACAAAATAATTCAAATGTTAGCGATATACCACAAATGAATATTCAGTTCCCTTCAACATCGATTTGTCCAGATAAAATACCAGAAGCAAATCAGAAACATCCATCGGAAATAACACCTGAAAAGAAAACTGTTTCTTATGAAAACTTCCAAGGACACACCCGAAAATCGATAAATCGATTTATTTTCCCTCTATTACTGCAAACCTACCCTAAAGCTACCTTATTGCTATTAACAAAACAAAGGAAAAAGAAGACCACTGATATTTTAATTGATACACCAATTTATAAAAGAATAGAAGCGGAAACAGCAGAAAGAACATCAAGGCAAAGTAGAGTGAAGAGAGCTAAGACAACAGTAAAAAGAAAAATTGATAGTTCAAACAAGTCGAATAGAAGTAATGCAAAGAAAAATAAAAGCATACCCAGTGATGACAGTAACAGTGACATTGCATTGTCTTATGTTGTGGATTCCGACGATGTTAGTCTATTTTCAGAAGTAGATGAAATTTGTGACGAAGACATATCCTCACTAATGGTGGAAGTGAATTCATTTGTTCTCGTGAGGTTTCAAACAAAAAAACTTAAAAATTTTATGTTGCACAAGTTACAGAAGTTTTTTCTTTTGGTTAAGAATACAATAAAAATTTTCTAAAGCGTCACGGAATACAGTTTTTATTTCCTAGAGTTACAGATTCTGCCACAATTACAAAAGAAGATGTTGAACTCATTTTAATGCAACACAACTGGTGCTGGAGCAACACAACGAACAGCAAATTTGTTCATTTTTAAAGCGGATTTATCATCTTATAATATTTCTTAAAGAATATGAAAATATGAAAATTATGAACATTATAAATAAAAATATAAGAATTGCAAGTAATGACAACTGTATCTTACCTTTGTGGCCACTGTACCATCTAGTTTGGTACAGTGGCCACATTTTTTGAAAAAAAAAAAACAAAATTAGTTACTCCGGCATAACCTGTATTTTTTAGGATTAGAGTATATTTTTAATTTACCAAATGCTTTGACGTTGTTTTAGTTGATACTCATTAATATATTATGATTTATTTTAAAGTAATCTTGAATTTACTCGAAAGGTGGCCACTGCACCAGCCTCTCTCTTTCTTAAATAAAGAAAATGGAAAATGATGGAAATAATATTTTTAAAATTCTGTAATTTTACTCACCTTAATTTTCTTGTAAACAGCAATTTCTTCAACAATATTCCTCCCTTGATCCAAATAATGTGTAGCATCTAAGTCCGCTAAATAAACGGCGCATTTAAGAGGCCAATTAAAGGAACCAGTAGCTATTTTATACTTGGCGATCCTTTCAATAACATTCATATTAAACCCATTTATATCTTTACTAATTAATTCCAAGTTATGTCCTTGAAACGTCGTGTAGAGAGAAGAATGAAATAACTCGATGAATCGAGGGTAGTTTGGATGGTCCTTGAAGTACTTTTTTAGTAGAATGAATATGGAGGTCTGTAAAAGACACGTGTCGTTTGCTACAAGGATTCCTACGTCATTTAGTGAGTGCCATGTTTTTGAGCTGTTTCGAGATTCTACATTGTTAATTTTATCACTAGCCATATACATTATGCTTTGGATCTGCAAAAGATTTAAAAGTATATGAACGTATTTAATACGGCCATAAAGAAAAATGTTAGGCAAAAAGAAAACTACAAAAAGGAAAACACTCATATGACAAGAACTGCCAACTTGCACATGACACTAAGAAAAAAAAAGCCAGAAATTCCACCAACAAGGGATTAGGACTGAGGAGGAGGATATCTTCTTGGTGTGCCTTGTTAAAATACCGCAGTTCCCCCTGGATTTTAAAAGTGACATATGTCATGTCAATTGGTAACTATAGAATAATAGTTCGTGATTATATTGTAATAGCCGTTGCCTATCAAGATTCTTATCAAAAGTATTGTTTTACTGCTTCGAATCTAGTTATCACTTCATGTCTATCTTGATTTATCTTATCTGTAGCAGCTTGGAAAAGCAGCACAGACATTGTGTTGAACCAGGTTCAGAGAACCAGGTTTGATACCCAGCGCTGAACCTCACTTTCCAAATATTATTCCTCGCAGAATGACTTGTAGGAAGGCATGTCTGGATTTTTCTTCTGAAAATCTCCTGATTTGTGAATTATTCAGTCTACGGTACCTTCAGTATTTTCCGATCTAGCCACGTCTTAAATGCTCTTAAGTTGCTGCACATATTATCGTTCAAGGTCCACGATTTCACACCATAAACAAGGACAATCGCAGCATACTTACTGGAAGAAGACCTACTTTGACCTACCTAATCCTTTTGAAGGTGGATTTAGCTTTTGCAATGCGGATATAAGTGTAAATAATTACAATGATAATCTGGAAATAACTTACCATTTCTCCTAACCATCCAAGTAAGTAGGCCTGGTTAATATTTTCTTCATTCAGTTTCTCTGGTCTTTCTAAAGTTTTATAACACATAACAGTCATACAAGGTATTTCCTTATTTCCAACTAGTGAAGCATACTCAATCATTCTTTGATATCTCATCTTGAATTCAGGTTCTTTCTCGAAAATGGAATTGTCAGTAAGGTCTTTGACGAATATTGGAAACATATTACTTGCTGACGATACGAAGTCATTATCAGTTATGTTGGGCTGTAAATCGGAAATTGTAGACTGGAGCCTTAAAATAAAATAATACTATTAATCTACTAATTCTTATGTAATATGATATGCTAAAACCAAAATGTTATCGAAAAATGTTAAATGTTAACATCAAGAATTTTTACGAAATACGAATTGCACAGTTAGCTCCTTTTTTCCTTGTATTGGCATTCTTAAACGTACGGAATTATAGTATGCTATAGATTTCCTTATATATACATTTCATCTAATTTATATAAAGATGCACGTCATCGGCGTCATAGCCTCTGACGTCACATGATACCAACACGAAATATTTATGCGGTAGGTGTGTTCTTTTTTAGAATCACTTTGCCGAGTACACTGGCATTACAGCCACTAGACATATTTTATTATATATGCGTAGAAATAATATTTAAAAATATCTATTAATGTTAACTTAAAGAAATACATAATAATGTTTCATTTAATTTGTATAAATGCATTATAAAGCGTTTTTATCAAGAACATTTGTTCGGAACACACTGTAACTGTAATCGAACGGAGGTAAAATTTTGGTATAAATTGGTAACACTTACTTGACAGTTGCGGTGTTGACACTTTTTGTTCTTGATTATTTTGAATTTTAAAGAGAATATCTCTTGTTTTATATTTTTACCTATTTAATAAAATCTGTGCTTTCTAGAACAAAATTAGTGTGTTTTATTTCAAAAATATCACGTAAGAATTTAAATAGTCATTGTAAAGAGATGGTAATACTTTTGCAATAATTATGTGATCTATTTGATTTAAAATGGAGTCAAGATTTTTTTATACTTTGGCAACTATGTCAACTTCGATCTCTGACGTAGATCATGACGTAAGTCGTTATCTAAATTAGATGAAGTATAGATAGATTTCCTTATTTGTGGCTAAATCTCATACCTTATCAAATATGCGACAAATAAATAGCTTCAGAACTTATCCTCTATTATGTTTTGTTAATAAAATAAAACTTGTTCGCCTTTACTATTCTAACATGTTTAAACTTTATACTCAGTTTTCCAGAAATATGTTTTTGCAGTTCGCCTTTACGTTTTCAAGCTCTTGATTTGTTGCCAGCGTATATTTGCTTCATTGATTTGACGAAGGCATTTGACAGAGTTCGCCTGGGAGACATTCTAAATATATTAATAGAAAATGAAACACCGACCAGTATAACAAAGATACTCCATAACCTAAACAACAACAACGTAACCAAAGTTAGAGCAGGAGACGAATTCACTGAAAATATTCCAACACCGGGAGGAATTAGACAAGGCGACAGTTTAAGCCCCTTTTTGTTTAATCTTCTCATGGGCAAAATTATCAACAAAGTAACATCTCTTAATCTCGGATATAGAATGGGCAACAAAAGAATTGGTATGGTGTGCTACGCAGACGATGCAGCAATTATTGCCGAATCAGAAGATGATCTCCAAAGGCAGCTCTTTCAGTTCTTTCAAACAAGCCGACTATTAAATATGAACATCTCTACCAACAAAACTAAATGTATGACAATAGCAAAAGATCCGCTCAGTTGTAAGTTAGTGGTTGAGGACAACCCCATAGAACAGGTGATGCAATTCAGATATCTGGGCATAGATATATCAAGCACCCATGACCCAGTAAAGGACCTGAGGAGTCAGATCAACAAAGCATCTGCACTGTCAGGATGTCTGCGGGAGATAGTCTGGTCTAATCCGTATATGCGCACAGATAGTAAAATTAGAATCTATAAGACTTGCATACGACCGATCATGACATATGGCATAGAAGTGCGCGAAGATACCAACAAAACGAAACAGATGCTAAGGGTTGCCGAAATGAAAACCCTAAGAACAATAATGGGGAAAACAAGAAGGGACAGAGTGAGAAATACAAACATTAGAGAGCAGTGCAAAATTCAAGATATTGTAAGATGGGGAAGACAGCGCAAGAGGATGTGGTACAACCATATAAGACGAATGGATGAGAATAGACTCCCAAAAATTGCCCTAGAAAGCAATCCGCCTGGTTCAAGACCCCCAGGAAGACCACCTAAAAGATGGAGGGATAGTTGGCAATCTACCTCCCAAGAAATTAACCAGAGGCAGCTTCAGAATTAAACAGATCGAAAGATCTACAAAAAGTAGAAGAAGAAGAAGATTTGTTGCGAGTATTGGAAAAAATCACGATCCTCAGTTACGGAGAAACGAAAATAGAGAGAGAATATGTATTAAAACTTAAAAGAACGAAAGAGCTGAATTAACAATGAATAATAATGAAGAAGGAATAGTGAAGAGATGGCCTCAACTGCGGCTGGTTGATGAATAAAGATAAATTTAAGATTTATGTTAAATGAAAATGCAAGATACTTTTAACTAAAATGTTTGTATATCGCAAAGGTACTTACCTTTTTAGTTGATAGGAATATCTCTTCAAACTAATACGTTTCCCAAAATTTAATTTCGTCGTTACTCTTTCTAAAAACTTGAAACTTCCACTCATATTTTCTACAAATGTTCAGCCAATATGGTTCTAGAAAAGTTTGATACTTTATTTATAACCAAAAAAGATAAATAAAAGGCAATAAACCCAAAACATCTTATTTAAAGAGTGAGATGCTATCCATTGATTTCTTGTAATGTTTACGGCCATGTATAACTACCGTTTTTCTCCTGTAAGAGGGGGGTTTTAGGTGGAATCCCGGGGGATGCAGTGGCAAAAAAATCTTTTTTGTAAAAAAAAGTTGAAATTCATGAAATTGGTTTATAATTTGTTAGTTTTCATAAAAATGCGCAAGCTTAACATTTATTACGACCCCTTTTGTTTGATTTTAATTGGTGTAAAATGTAATAACAATCCATGCATACAATTCCTTGAAATAAATATGAATGATCATTAAAAAACCATCAATACAAAGCATTTTTTTTGGACAACTTAGTGTTTCAAAACAGCCAGGAAGTAATGCTAATAAAAAAAAATTAAAAAAAACCAAGTAAAAAAAGTGAATAGCCAAGTCAGAAATAATAACTCATACTTAGCGTTTGACATAAAATATAAAATAATAAACAGACAAATAATATTTTTATATTTAACAAATTTAAAACTCTGTACATAACATAAAATTCTTCACATTTTTAAAGTTGCACAAAATATTAATTTCCACGATTCTACTTTCAAAAATGAGCAAATAAGTTTTTATCTGCTTTGAGAGTGGTCCGTGATTCGTATCCGTACGTTAGGACTGGTAAAAAATATTTTTCCATCGATTTTTAAGTTAGTGATCTATAAAGATAAGAAAAAGTAGAGGACCCAATACTGAACCTTGTGGTACTCCCCGTACAATGCTTTTGTGACTAGAGTTACTATCATTTGCAAGATTGGAAACAATTCAAAGAAATACCTCGAATTTCGTAGAAATTTAGTTTTTTTATCAAAACGTCTTGATTTACACAATCAAAAGCTTTGGCATAGTCACAGAAAACAATGGCAATGTAAAGATTATTGCTTAGTGCTTGATACACCTCATGTAATACAGAAAAAATAGCATCACTGATACATTTATATTATAAAAAGCCGAACTGACTTTGTGATAAAATGTTACTTTCAACGAGAAAGGACATAAGTCGAGGTTTTATAAGTCTCTCAATAATTTTGGATGGGATCGGTAGAAAGACTATAGGTCTATAGTTGCAAACATTAAAAAGGGTTTTAAAAAATTCACATTTTTTTTGATTTTTAAAAATTACAAAAGAGAAAGAGTTTTTAAAACCGTCTAAGGTATGTTAAATAGATGAATAAAAATATTAATATAAAACTTACAGCTACTTGTTACAAATCCAAATCAGATTCAGAAGATGAACTTTCAGAACCAAGATTTATATTAACTGGCTCGATCATTTTATCAGTAATATTGTCCAGTTTCCACATTTTTTCCTCTTCTTTAATAGTGTGATTTACTGCCTTTTCCCAGTTTTCAGGTTTTACATTATTTACGGCCTCCAAAAACAACTGTCTAACATCATGAATTATAAAAGTCGTATTTTTTCTTGAAACTTCACTCTTTATCTGTGCCCATACCAGTTCAATCGGGTTTAATTCACAATGATATGGTGGGGATCTAAGTACTGTCATTCCACGATTTTTGGCAATTTCATCAATTTCGTATTTTTTAAATTTTTCTTTATGAAGGGCACACAACGAATAAAGTTCCTTTCTTATAGATCCGGGATGGTACGTAATATTTTTGAACTCAGCCAATTCTGCAAGTCTTTTTTTAACCACTTGGTTGTGGGCAGTCCTTCTATAAGTCTGGAGTGATAACTTGCATTATCCATTACTATTACACAGTTCTTAGGAAGAAGATCTATCATTTGTTCGAACCATTCTTGAAAGACATCAGCGTTCATATCTTAATGGTAGTCACCGGTACGAGTTGATTCAAAAGTTAATAAACCACCTTCAACAAAACCGTCTGAACTGCCAATGTGTACTATTATCAGCCTGCGTTCCTTTCCTGATGGTGGGTTTAAACCAGTAGATAAGTTATTTACAAAAGCTTGCCTTTGACTTGTAACAGTTTCATCCTGCCAAAATTTATTTGGTGTATGACCCTCGCTGATCCATGTTTCATCAAGATAAAATGTTTTTCTTTTTTGGTTTCTCATTTCCTTTATGGTTCTTAGAAAATGTCTTCTCCATATGACAATATCGCTTCTTTCTAATAAAATAGACTTTCTGGGATTCTTTTTCCAGCGGAAACCTATTTCTTTTAAAAGTTTCCATAACGTACTTCGACTCATTTCTGGGTAATCCTTATCATCTCGAACTGAGACAAGAACTTTATCCAATGTTGGAAATTCTTGTCTAAAGAAGAATTCATGCACTTTCCGTAAAAAGGCCTTCTTTAAAATGATATTCTATTTGAAATTTTGGTTTCCCTGGAGCATTACGTGGCATTTGAAAACTACCACATTTCTCTTCTTTAATAACTCTGTAAATCGTAGATTTCCCAACACCAAGTGTACTGCTAACTAACTCAACGGTCTCATCAACACTTTCACATAAACGTTTGTCTGTAAATGATTTAAAACAATTAAATATTAATGTTTTTTCATTAACTGTTAAACGACCAATTTTTCGGCGTTTACACGGCACTTCCAAATTTTCCATAACACTAGTATACACAATAAACTGCACCTTGCAACTGAAGTACCTACTTTTAATGAACTGTTAAGAATTTTGAATACGCCACTTGGACCTTCCTACAAAATGGAAAAACATACTATCACATTTTCTGTGGAATAAGTTTAGAAGGTAATTATCTAGTCAATTACTGTGGTAGATTCCTGGAATTAAAGAATTAAATGTTTGATTGTTGAAACCCTTACTTCGTGGAATGCACTCATTTCAGATAAAATAAAACGTTTTATTTTATCTAAAGAATTAAACTTTATTTTGCAAATAGGTAGGTACTTATTAAACTTTTATTGGTTATATATAACCGATAAAATAAACATCTTACATTTTTTGCAAATTCATTAGTACCTGTTAACCTCCATCACTCCGACACTGGCAACCTTATTTAGGGATTAGTAACCCTCACAACTATTGTATTCTATTCTGCTCCAACCTTTATACCTGGTGGTCATACTCAATTTAAAATTGTTTTCCTATATACTTCTGTAAACTTGTTGACAAATATCTGTTTTTCATTGAGTCACCCGTATCAACAGTTTAGGGATTTGCATACAAAATTTATTGTTTTATTACTCTCTCATACATAAAAATACACTATAGCGAAATCAGCACTTTCACAACATTTTTTGGGATGTTTAAGAAAATTTGTATAAATAATCCATCACTACTACATGAAGATTTGCTTTTGATGCATAAAAAATTTCACTAGGTATTTGTCGTAAATATCAATAAACAGAAACGGGGATGGGGCACTTTTTTGTCATAAGCATTATCTGTATTTTATAAAATGTAAAATTATTTCATACAATACAGATAACTATTATTTTATACCTATTTGTCAAAAATACCAGAAAGATACGATTTTATGGACCGGTATAGGTAATAATTAACAACATTTACCTTTTAATAGACGATCCTAAACAAACCAACACAACAACTGAATGATAATGCCGCTGGTATATTTTAAAACATGATTATAAATACAAAATTATAATATATACAATATAATCTCTGTGTTGTTGTTTTATTTATTTAAAACCTTGAGTGGGTTATTACCTTGTTATGACGGTCAAGATTTAACGGGTTAAAATAATATGCAATGGATGCACCATTCGGAAGGCATTTTGTACAGAAAACGAGTTTACAGGTAAATCAGAGAAATAACCAAAATAAAAGCCTGTTTTGTGATACTCTTTGATACAGGCATCTCAAAACTGCTTTTGATAATTTTTTTTATTGAAATTAACGTATCTCGACATCTATGTCCATTGACAAGGATACAAAAACGTCAGGAGTATTACATTATACATATAAGATTATTACATTATATAAGATAAATACAGTAAGTTACATTTTTTTTGAACGAACAATGTTACAATATTTGTTATATACGATAATATAATCTGCAATCTTTTAACACGTTCGCGGATACTATGGCATAGCAAAGAGTTCGTAGACAACCTCTGTTAAGAACGGCATTTTATCGAAAATAAAATTAAAAATAGATAGCATGATTTATTATGAAAAAACCATATATTTTTGACAAAAAAATGGGAATAAGCAAATACCGTCTTGTTCCTAGCAAAGTATATTTTCGTGAACTGGATACAAGACGGGGTTTCATGTCAAACTAAAAATGGGAGGGGAGGGGACGAATTGATTAAAAACAACAATTTTATTGTCTATGGTAATCTTCGAAGCAATGTTCGATGCAAAGAAAACCTCGCCTGTTGGGGTACGTCTTACAAAGGTACTTGGTCTCCTTTCGTATAGATCTTGATGTACAATGTTTGCATCTCAAATGGTAGGATTTATTTGGATCTTTTGGGTTTGGTATTTTATCGAGAAAGTGCATGCCAGAATCAGTGTTCCTGTTTGCTATTTGTTGATCCAGTCGTGGCCTTTTACCACCATGTAATGGTCCCGTCTTCACCAAGTTTCTTCCATCTTGCTCATCTTTATCAATTCCTAAATATTCTTTTACAATTTCTTCGCGAAACTGAAGGAACGATAACTGTGTGTCTAATCTTTTTATGTAAAATGCATTCCAAAGAGAAATGTCTAGTAGATGGAACATTACTTTTTTTTATACCATCTAATACTTTTTCTCGGAGATGAATAATAACTAATCATCTGGTCACTACGGTCAATACCAGACATAAACTTGTTGTAATTAGCTACTTCCTCAGGTTTTACCTTTTCAACGCCATATCTGTTTTTAGCGGTAATCAATTTGGGATGATATTTCGTGGTAATGCAAATAACATCCCGTTTATCCCTCCATTTTGAAACGTATACTTGATCACATCGGCTCCAACGGTGTTCACCTTTCTTTAAC